TTCATTAGAGAGTTTAACTTGTGTGTGTGTGTGCACACATGTTTGTGTGAGTGTTTGTTTCTCTGTGTGTGTGCATACAAATGTTTGTGTGGGTGTTTGTTTCTGTGTATGTGTGCATACACGTGTGTGTGTGTGTGTGTGTGTGTGTGTGTGTGTGTGTGTGTGTGTGTGTGTTTCAGTGTGTGCCTATGCACATAGATAAAGGACAGACAAGGGTGTTTGGTGTCCCCCTCTAATTTTCTCTGCCTAACTTTTCTAAGCATTTTCTCCTCTAAACCTGGAGCTCACTCTTTTTTGACTGTGCTGAAAGCCAGAAAGCCTCCGTGACCCTCCTGCCTCTGCTTGCCTCAGAACTGAGGTAAAGGCCTGAGCCAGATGCCCAGTTTATAACATGGCTGCTGGGATCTAGTTTTCTTTTATGGTTTTTCGAGACAGGGTTTCTCTGTGTAGCTTTGCGCCTTTCCTGGAACTCACTTGGTAGCCCAGGCTGGCCTCGAACTCACAGAGATTCGCCTGCCTCTGCCTCCTGAGTGCTGGGATTAAAGGCGTGCGCCACTACCGCCCGGCTGCTGGGATCTAAACCTCAGTTTACATTGTTGAATAGTGAACATTCATGGGCACTGAGCCATCTCTTGAGCCCCAATTTTAAATTTTTACCACATTAAAATGAATTTTAAATTAAGTAAATCCCTAAAAATGTATATCACACTGACATATAAATGTCATCTTCAGAAAGCTCTTTTTAGAATTTGGACACATGTATAATCCTATATTTTATAAAACTATATACAATCCAAAAGCAGAATTTGTTGTTTTCTATATCTCATGTTAGCATAATATACTTATTTGTTACAAAGGGTGCAATATATTTCATTGACTTTTGATTTACATTTTAAAATAATTCTATTTAAAAATATTTGTCTTAAATTTTGCTGCACATCTGCATTGTAAATTGCATACCGATTTTTTTTTACGTTTTATTTTTGGCTTAAGTTATTTTTTAAAACTGCTATTTTTAAACATTTCTTAAGGTTATTAAAATCCTTTTTTATTTATTCTATGACAATTTCATACATGTATCTAAGATATTTTGATAATACCTACCACTCGTCACCACCTTTTATTCCCTTCCCTTGGAACCTCCTCTTCTCAAAAGTTTCTGTCTTGCTTTCAGGTCCTTTGAAAAATGACTCCTGAAGTTTAGTTAGAGAGGCTTGCATGGTTCTTGCTGGGAAATTATTTACCAGAGCACGGTAGCACACCAGCAGCTGTACTGCTCCAGTCAAAGGACTTAGCTTCTTCCTCTAGCAGCCGCCAATCACCAGGAGCTCCTCAGCCACATGTGAGATTTTTTTCAAGACTTTGGTTGATATAAATTCATGGAATTTGTTTCCAACCTTTTCATAACTACATAAATGCACATATCACATTCTCCACAATGTCATCACTATCACATATTGTCATGTTTAAGATTCTTCATAAGGGGTTTTATTTTCTCTTTGTAAATTTCTTCTTTTTATCCTTTTCCCTATATGAGATCATCAGAGCATTGCATGTATTTAAATGAACTTTTTATAGGTTGTGATTATTAATTCCATTCTACCTTAAATCTAGTTCTATTCTTCTAGATCTAACTCTCCCTTACTATGTGCATGTACAAGAGCACAGGTATGGTAAGCCTCTTGTATTAAATCATTTTTGCCTTCAAAATTATTCAAGAACTGGGGAGATGTCTCAGAATGTAAGCATACTTGTTGCTCTTTTAGGGGATCTGGGTTCAATTCCAAACACCCACATAATAGCTCACAACCATCTGTAACTACTGTCATGGGAGATCTGACACTCTCCTCTGGCTTCCACAGGCACTAGGCATGCACATGGTGCAGACATACATACAGGCAGAACACTCATAGGCACACACAAAAAAAATATTATTTAAATAAATAATTCAATAGTTCATATCATTTGAAGATACAGAGAAGAAGATCATTATCTAGTACACAATTCTTACTCAAGCAATTACATTCTGCTAGTACACAATTCTTAAGCAATTACATTCTGTTAATTGGGGCTAGCTACTACTGTAACAATCCTGAAGGATTCTACAGGACTGAGGGGCTTATTTGGAGGCAGGTAAGGACAATATGCTCCATATGGGGACAAAGAACTTTCTGTGGCATTCCTCATCCCTTAAAAAGTATTGGGAAAAACCTATTTATATATACTATATTCATACTCACAGTTGTCCCAGGGAAGAAAGTTGGAGACTCTTACATAGTCTCTGGGGAAAACCTTACACCAGTACTTCTGTGGGAAGTAATAGGAAGACCGTGAGTGGTTAACCTATAGAAAATAAGTGAGACAGGCCGGGTGGTAGTGGCGTACGCCTTGAATCCCAACACTTGGATCCAGGTGGCTCTCTGTGAGTTCGAGGCCAGCCTGGCCTACAGAGCAAGATCCAGGACAGGCACCAAAACTACACAGAGAAACCCTATCTCAAAAAACCAAAAAAGAAAATAAATGAGACGTTTCCCTTTCTGACACCCCTAGTCTAGAGATGCACAGAACCCAGGCTGACAGAGTTACATCCTCTTTGAACAGCATGAGGAAAGGGGGACTCAGATTATGTGCGAGTCTATGAGACCTTAGAGCAGGGGCTTTCTGTGCCTATGGCTGAAGGACAAGTGCTCTCAGAGCCCTTCTTGTGAAAATCAAGGAAATTTGTCTGGGATCGGAACTGCACACCCTAGCTGTCTCCCAGAAACTCCATTGTTGGGAGGGGAGGCTAACAAACATTTCACAGTAGCTTTCTACTGTGCCAAGAATGTTCGGCTTGTAGGCAGCAAGGGAGGAACATAGATGAGTGGTGTAGTCAATGTGTGTTAAAGCGTGTACTTTGTAGGTTAAGACAAATTGTTTTGGAGAGTATAAAGGCCTTCTAGGCACTTACAACATCCGTGAACACCTATAACAACAGCCTGTATTGTTTCATTCAGAAACACCTTAGTCCATCCTCTTTTTAGTTTCTTAGCTTACAAAGGATCGGTTTCATTATACCTTTCTGCCAAACATCTTCCTACATTCTGTTTATGAAAGCTTTGTCAAAATGAAGAAATGACGAATCTGGGAAAAAGTCCAGAAGCTTATTAAAGGTTGAAGTATTTCCAACTCTTAACCACTACTAAATTGCTTACACTTCTCTGAACAGAGAAGTGCGCTCTTTCCTTATTCTCACAGGTCATCTGTTAAAGGGATCATTGTTCCACAGTATGTTGTCAGAATCCAAGACATTTGTGCTTCTCGCTTATGCCACTTGTGGTAAGTAAAGGAAAGCTGAAGTTCTTTGTTAAGAAAGACAGCTGACCATAAGAGTGCCTTAAATGCTAAGGCTAAGATTCTATTGCTTTCTGGGGGTGGAACTCCATAACTTGAATGTGAGCACTCGGAAAGCAGAGACAAGATTGAGAATTCCAGGACAGCCTGGGGTAAGGAGCCAAACAAAATGTTTTCTTGCTCAAGATTATCTCCTTCAGGCATTCTGTACTTCCTGAAATCAGAGACTGGCTTTTTGCCAGTTATCTTATTAAAAGGTAAAAGAGTCCCCAAATGGGGCAATACATAAAGTGTCAACTATGCACATTTCAATAATAACTTTTTATTTCATAACATTTATGACAACTATTTATAAAAAATAGTTTTGAAAGGAGAGGTGAATAGAAATTGCCTCAGTAACAAGATGTCTCTAAGTTCAGGGCCACACAAAGGCAGTGACTTTCTCAACCCTCTAAGTTGTGAACATATCAAGAATATCCATGTATTTGTTAAACTTCTTTTAAATTATTAATTGTTTATTTATTTTGTGTATGTGTGTGGGTGTACAGGTGCCCATGGAGGTCAGGGGTATCAGATCACTGGGAATTGGGGTTATAGACATTTGTGAGCGGCTGGATGTGGGTGCTGGGACCCAAACTCAAGACCTCTACAAAAGCATTATGTGCTCTTTACCAATAGCCATATCTCCAGCCCTGTTAACCTTATGAAAACTATAACTTCTGATTTAATTCCATCATGAGTAAAAGTTCTACCTTAAAGAAACATTCTACGTTTGAATTTATTTTTAAAAAGAGTGCAAAGGAGCCCCACTAGATTTGTGACCTACTAATTAAATGATCTCTCCTTAGCCCTGGAGCAGGCACAGAGAGTTGCCTGCACAGTATCTTCCTTCACTTTTGCTTTGTCAATAGGACTCTGGCTTTTTGGAGAGGCAGCAATCTGTCCAGCTAAAAATACTTGTTTTCCCAGACTCCCTTGCATCCTAATCAGGTGGCACAGTCCTGCTCTATGAGATGCAAGCAGACATCTGCTAGGATTGATGGGAAAGCTGTTGCTTTCCAGATATAGTCACCATCCATCCCTGCCTCCCTCTTCACTCCTTCATCTTTTCTTTATGTCTGCTGAAGTATTAGCATAAGACATGGCGGGCAAGCATCTTTCTTGGAATCATAAGATGCCAAGATTGAGGGCAAAAGCCTACTAACTGTGTGCGGAAGAACAGAAACATGGAAAGCATTTAGGCTCTTGGTGGCATGATTGAACTGTACACTTACCCTGTACTACCTACTCCCAATCTTCACATTGTTGGAGAGAAAGCCCTGCCTGTGGCAGTTTTATATTATTTGCAGATCCTCTTTCGGGCCCTAAGGAAACATCAAATTAGAAAAGACCTTATAATGCCTTTTAGTAATGCTTGTTTGGAGTTTTAGCCCATGTATTTCTATGCAGACACATACAAAGGAATAACCCCTGCTGTGGTGAAATGCAAATGCACCAATTGTTCGGAACGGTGCTTTCACTGGCATGTCAGAAAAATGTTTATCAGGCCTACATTCTAGACACCAAAAACACAAAATCTATCCATTATTAGGTTATATCTAGTTTCAAAAAAAAAAGCTGTTTCCTAAAGGAGAATATGTATGTTTATTGATTACAGTGCTGTTGAATGAATACTGTGTTTTAGCTGGTGAACCTGATACAACCTCGAATTCAAAGCATCTCTTCTATATAAATTCAAGAATATGGTTTCTCCTTGATGAAATGCCTTAAACAACATGTCCAGAACACTCCCAGTAGGGCAATGCAGTCAACATGCAGACAATAAAATCGATGCTGCTAGAGGACAAGGAAAGACTGCACACCTAACCCCTCCCTTCTCTGCCCACCTCCACATTAGGACTTATATATCCCTTTCTTTTATGGCTGTTCCTTACTTGCACTTCTTATAATAATCTGGCAGTGGTAATATTTTTTAAAATAGAGTTTCTAAAGTAGAAATTATGTCTGTGGAAGCAGCCTCAGAGGTAGAGTGCTTTGCTAGTGTGCACAGGACCCAGAGTTCAATCAATAGTGCTGCAAAGGTAAAAATAAAATAAGTGAAAGATATCACTAAAGGTATACTGATATTGAAACTTGGAGTTCCAAAAATGAGTGCTGTAAATATCCAATTTAAACAAATATATATGTATATATAAAATGTATATATTAAAAATATATCGAGCAAAGTCTTTGGAAACCTAGGGTCTTACTGTTTTTCCTCTGTATTGATTTAATCCTGCTATTTGTCTGAATAATTAGTGGAGATTAATAGGACAGACTTTTCAAATGCACCAGATAAAGTGTATTCATAACCATTTGGGTGTGTGGAGAGCATTCTGAGATGCAACAAGCTTGCAAGAGTTTAACTACTGAGTCCAGTCTTGCTCAAGAAGCCACAGGAGTGGTAGAGGAGGTAGAAAACAAGGAAGAAGAAATGAAAGGAGGCCACACTGGCGTGGTAGTTCTGGCCCCATGGACGAGGGGATCTATGCGGAAGGTGGTCATGGCAGCAGTGTTCAACAGCAGCCTCAGCAAGAGGTGGTGATGCCTGAGGGCACTAAGAGTCTCCAGGCTGGGGACAGGCTGCCTTTCCAGCGCAGAACCAGGTTCACCCAGTCTCAGCTGCAGGACCTGGAGCATCTTTTCCAAGAGACTCGCTACCCCAGCTTGCGAGCAAGGAAGGCTCTTACGGGATGGATGGGTGTGCCGGAAGCCAATGTGCTGGATTGGTTTAGGACCAGGAGAACCATTTTCAGGAGAAGCAGTAGACTGTTGGTGCTGTTCAATGCACCACCTGGTCCCCAGAACAACGATCCCTGAAGATTTTTGAGCAGCACTTGAGTGCCACCTCTGTCCAGGAGCCAGATGTCGTGGAGCCTGTCCCTGCCCCCAATGTCTCGGCCACCCATACTGGCCATGACATCTTTTTCTTCCCTGCAATTATTTCAGCAATAAAGAGGTGGATTGTCAGTTTTTTAAAAAAAAGAATTTAACTACCTAGTTCCTCACCTTCAAGACAGCTTGAATTATCCTCCAAACTGTCAATGCTTCCAAGGGCTCTTCACAGGTAAACAGTTTTCAGACCTGTTTTTGAGAACAACATACTTTGTGTATTTGCTTTTACACCTGTGAGTACACTATTCTTAGGCTGGTCCTGAATAGTCCCTTGACTCCATAACGGATGGCCTCTTACAGAGAGAGTTGACTTTGGAAGAAGCACAGTGTTCAATAAACCCTATGTAAATTATAAGGAACCAGAGTGGAACCCAGGCACACAGTAAGTCATTCATGAGTAAACCTTAGTATGCACACAGCTGGATGCACTGTATTTTCGATGAGCTCAGCTCCCTGCTGTGACTTAGAGCTAATAGGATACACATTACTTGTTTGTCCTTACATTGACAACATGTATGGTGATCTTTTATTTGTACTAAAATGTTATTTGTATGTTAATAAATAAAGTTGCCTGGGGGTCAGAGCTATTAGCAAGCCATAGGAAAGCTGGGCAGTGGTGATGCACGCCTTTAATCCCAGCACTTGGTAGGCAGAGCTAGGTAGATCTCTGTGTGTTCAAGGATACAGCCAGCATTGGAGACACATGCCTTTAATCTCAATACCAACCATAGAAGACCTGGAGGTCTGTACAGACAGGCAGTGACTAGGAGGTCATGCAGTTGGGTTTACAACTGATGAAAGGCAGAACAGAAACTCTATAAAAAAAAAAAGACAGACTCAGGAAGTAGGTCTCTTTCGGAGAGGCAGGACCACCGTGAGAGGAAGGGTAAGGTTTTAAGCTCTTAGCTCTGACCTCTTGGTTTTCTTCTTTGCATTGGTTCTGTGTTTCTTATTTAATAAGATGGTTGGTTACATTTACAAACATGCTTATAATAAATTGTATTGCTGTAGAAACATGCTAAGGAGCCACTGAATTAATGTTCCTGTTTGGTGGCACCAGCTTCTTCCATCCAAACACAAATGTCAATGGTGCTTCAGAATAAAAGATGGATATGTGCACACACATGTGCAGACCTGTGGGATATTTTTTATTAGATAATTAATATCGTTCACACATCATGTACTCAAAATGGCATTTATGTAGACATATATATTTGTGCCAGTTTATCCGTAGCATTGTCCACACACTACACAATAATGTATATTATGTTTTCACTTTCCTCAAAAGAGTATATACTATCTATAAAAGAAGTTCCTTTAGAGACAAAACAAATATAAATTGTCTAAAACTTGAGGTCTGGAAAGCTAACTTTCTATGAGGTAATGATGATGAGAATGTACAAAGTTGAGAACAAAGTTAAGGCCCAAACAGAGAAACATACACAAGAGTAAATATTGACTCCAATGTATTTTGCTAATAAAGTACAACCAACTGTAAATGCAATTTTTTTATTATATTGTTCTTGTTGACACCAGCACTTAGCATCTTAATCTGGGCCCAATGTTCTACTCATATAAAACAAACCCAATTTTTTTTTTTTTTTTTGGTTTTTCGAGACAGGGTTTCTCTGTGTAGCTTTGCGCCTTTCCTGGAACTCACTTGGTAGCCCAGGCTGGCCTCGAACTCACAGAGATCCGCCTGCCTCTGCCTCCCGAGTGCTGGGATTAAAGGCGTGCGCCACCACCGCCCGGCTAATTTTTTTGACTATAGAAAGCATGTGGTCTAGAAGCCTAGAAGGAGATGCACACCCTGCATGATTTGACAAAAAAGATATATTAAAATCTGTGCCTGTCCTACATTTTTGAACTAGTTTGAGGCCCTAAGTATTATTTGAATCATGATGTTTTAACTTCAAAACAAGTATAAAACATCTACTACTAATATTATTGGTGCTGGAATTGAAACAGAATACTACATCCTTTAGAGGATTTTTGAGAAGTCTAAAGGTAGGTAATGTCTTAGGAAAGTGCATGCCTCCATTCTCCACCCTTCACATAGAGATTCACTTTTACTAGGTAGCTTTAAAATTTACTAGTATCTTTAAAATTGTAGGTATAGGAAGGTGGATTATGAATACAGGAATAATTTTCAAAGGAAAAATATAAAAGGAAGAGATAATGAAACCATGCAGTTAAAACAATTCAGTTCCCCAATAGCTTCATTCTGTTTACAAACGTAATCACATAAAAGAACATAACTGCTGAAAATGTTGGACAAGTTTGTAATCCCAACACAAAACCTAGAGAGAGAAGAAATATAAGTCTGAGGCTGACCTGGACTATATAGCAAAATCTTATTGAAAATATTAAAAAAAATTCCTTTTGACAATATTTAGTCAAAGTGTACATGTCTACATTTGTTTTTCCCCACTCTTAGCACTAGTAAATGTACACATGCATATGTACACTTTCATAATAAGCCTCAATGTGATTAATGGTACATGCATCCATGATACTATGACATAAGTACTAATGATTTTGATGTGGTTATGAATAACGCATAAAAACAGGAAAGCTAAAACATGCTCCTTTCTTCCCTAGTGTTGTGCTTTGAATGTGAATGTTCCCTTAGGAAGTAACACTATTGGGAGATGTGGCCTTGTTGGAGTAAGTGTGACCTTGTTGAAGGAAATGTGTCACTGGGATGGGCTTTGGGAGGTTGAGAACCACTGCTCCAGAGGATGTACAGTTGTGTAATATCTCTGGTGTTAAGCCTACTCACATTACTTCAAGCACCCCAGATATTGATTGGATTGTTTTGTATGTTGCCTTATATATGGACCAATGTTCAGACTAAGGAAGCATGTACGATTTCAATTGGACTGATACAGTTAGTGTAAGTAAATAAAACTTTATAATAGACATTTTAGTGTGGGTCATAGATTAAAATGATGAGCACTGAGTAGGTCTTTCAGTTTTCTTTGTTTACCATTTACCTTCTTCACTCTGCATCAACTTATCTAAGTAACAACTCTGAGATAATTTATGATAATACCCAAAATTGACATATACAAATAAATATTCTTCAAATTACATAGCGATATCATAATACATAAATATATCTGATAAATAAAAGAACAAATAGCAACAAACTTTTCCCATTGAAAAAAATATAGATTAATTATAAATTAATATAATATAAATTATAAAGTCACAAAATGTCTCCACTTATAAAAACTGTGTATTAATTGACAATAGGAATATTTCCAAATGTTAGTCAAAAAACATTATCAAAGCCAGGATTTTATTGTGACATTAAAATCTACCTTGTAGACTTCAAATTTTTATAGCTTATTTATCTTAGTCTTTCTAATATATCTGCTAAATATTTCTTTTCTTAAGAAATCCCCTCAAATTTGAATATATTTTTCCACCCAGGAGTTTGGAACTGAAATAGTAACTCAGAAACAAAGCCCTTGGTGTTTCCTCTCCTTCCTCTCACTTCTCCTCGATGGGTCTGGCAGTACCTGCCTCTAGTTGGTGGAAGCCAAAAGATTCTGTTAAATGCCACAAACTCCACTCCTCTAGAAGGAGGGGCTTCTAGCGCCATTTCCTAACTTGTAAAGATTGCACTCAGAATGCCACAAGAGTTGGGGTGGGGACTGACTCTTGTTCCTTTATTCGTTTCCACTTTTTACCCCCTCAGAGTAAAGAGAGTTTTGTTATGTTTTCTCCCCTTTGATGCTAAGTGAGGCTAGCTGGACTTTAAAAACTTGGCACTTTTTGTTAATAGCCCTTTCTAAAAATTTCAGTCTCTGTCATTGATGGTAATGTCGATGCTGATGATAAAATACGAAGCATTTTAATGGTGGATTCTGTAGATCAGTGATTTTTTTTCCGACCCTCAAGTTTCACAGACCTGAGAAATAACTTAAGATAAAAGACTGGAAGTTTTTCATTGTTTTCAACTTTATATATCCCTTTTCATTATTTCCCACATAAGGTAATCTGAATAAATAATTACTATGCTTTATTACCTTTGTGCCATGAAAATGTAACTTGACACCAAGGTAGAAGAAAATCACTAAAGAAAATTTAGCACTCTACTAAATCACATAAATTTGGATTAATAAAATACTTACTACTGTTTTTGTGTATTTGCAAGTTAATATGAACATCATCTCTGACTGCCACCAGCTGATATTAGTCATGTTATAAGTATATCCACAATGATTAGTATAATTCCGTTCAGTTATTAATGGTCTATTACTATTTTCTTGTGTTCTATATTGTATTTGTATATTTCAGCCTAGAAAGTTATTTGATTACAGAAGCCCTGACATTTTATGTTTCAGAAATAGAAAGGGTAGAATTTCAGTGGACTGCACTAATCGCTTATATGTTGACTTTATTCTGAGGATGAGAATACTAAGGTCCATGCGACCTGGTTTCTAAGAACCACACAGGTAGGGGCCTGCATCTGCCTGTACCCAATGAGCAAACTGCTGAGTTTATATTTAACACTTTTGTGTGTAATAATTATCAAAAGCATTTATATACTAGTCTAATATACATTATAACTTTCTGTTGTGGGAGTCCCTTAATACAATTTGGGAAAATAATTTTCAGTGTAACTAGTCCAAGCAGCTCACGTAGCTGTAGAATAATGGGAATGACAATTTAACAAGATGTTCTCCAAATTGATGGTTATTTACATTTCCACACAGTCAGCTTCAAGATTTTACTGAGTGACTACCATGGGTTCAACACCCTGATAAACACTACAGTGAAAACAGTAATAGTATAAGCCATAGGATCTTCTGCATTGTGAATTGTGAATACATTGTAGTTATTAAAGGCATAAAGAGAAATATTCATTGGTGGGAATTGCCTACTTTTTATTCTATACCTTCATTTGACAATTATCCTATATATAGTACCTTCTACTACATGCACACTCCCAGTCCAAAGAAATTAGTCACTTAATGTTTTCTACTAAATGCATTCAAGAATTAATCTTCCTTCATTTAAAACACATTCTTCCAGCTGCAAGATTTCTTTTTCTTTTCTTTGTGTTGGGTGATTGATTATTTTTTTTGAGACAAGGTTTTACTATGTAGTTCTGGCTGGCCTTGAAATCTCTTATGTAGACCAGGTTGGCCTCAAACTCACAGAAATCCACCTGCAGTGACCTAATTTCAAATACATGTTACTTGTCAGACAAGTTGAGCTGAACAAATAATTATCACTAAAATATGGTGACTATAAGAGTTAATTCAGTAGTAGGTTAATAGTGACATTTGCTTAAAACTTAGAATGTTTGGAGATAGAACACTTGAACCCATTCACTCAACTTTGACTATTTTGTTTATTTTGAGAGACGGTCACATTGTATAATATTAGCTGGTCTGGAAGTGTGTATCTAGACCAGGCTGGCCTCAAACTCATAGAGATCCACTTGTCTCTGCCTCCCAAGTGCTGGGATTAAAGACATGCACCACCATGCCCAGCTTCCATTCACTCAACTTTTAAAAAGAACCTGAGTAGTCATTAGTTTTCAACTTTTTTATCACTTATGTACAGGTTTTATAATTTATAATACTTCATAGCATCCATTTCAGAAATAGTTTGTTAAATAATTAAGTTCATTTAAATAAATTTTGATTTTCCATAACATTACACAAATATAAATGTGATTGATATCTATATATCTATATAGATATAGATATATAGATATATATGCCAATCAAAGAGCTGTCTGGGTATCTTTAGCAACTCATCTGCAATTTTATTTACCTGGAAGGATGCTAACCAACGGTTTAGAAACATCTTTTCAGGAAGTCTGTTGTATATCTATGTGAAAAACAACAATAACAGTACTTACTTGAGGGTTTCACAAGTAAGAAATTTAACATATAAAATGTTCATCACAATTTTGTTCTTGTTTCATCTATTACTGTTATTGAAGAGTAAAAGATGGAGGCCAGAAATATGTGTATATTTAGCCAGAAAAGTATCAGGGCTGAAGATATCATTGTTTTGTTAGTGAAACAACAAATAGAGGAAAGATGACGGTAAGATGAACTCAGCCACAGGAAAGGAAAGTT